CGTAATAGGTCCACCTTGGTCCATCCAGATGAGTGTCCTTTTAACAACAAGAGACAGCGACAGGATTCTGGGGGAGCCATCAGATCACGTCAATGCCTTGTAGGCAAAGACTGAGACTGTTCCTTGATAAGTGGCCGGCTCCTTGAGGTGTGGTTTGAAAAATTCTGGGTGAAATCCAACCTTGAACAAGTGGGTTTCGGTTTGTGAGACAAGACTTTCCTCCCTCTCATGCAGAGAGCCCGTGTCAACCCAAAGCTGTCCTGAAGGGTCTTCTTCGCTGCTCCAGTTACTATGGTACAATAGTTACCATGGCAACCCAAATTGAGAAAAACGAGATTGCTGAAGGCTGTCTTTATAGGGAAGAGAGTCATCATTTCTTCTGTCTAAAATGCTTTGCAATCTAGGACAACATCTGTGGCGCAATGATTGAGGGCCAAAGTAGACATTCCAGGTGGCCTGTCATTCATGGTGTTCCAGATACATGATTCAGGCAGATCGTCATGGAAGTGTGAGCAGAGGCAATGGGGTTGGTGACCCCCACTGCCCATAACTCCATCAGACCCAAGTTGCTAATAACGGTGTTCTTTATTTTACCACCAGTGGCTAACACAGCTTCCCACCATCCCACCCCCACAGGAGACTGAATTTCCACCACTCGTCCCTGGAAGCAGTCCATTTTATAGTGGACCCCTTAGTGGGAATCCCACAGCTGGGAGGCCTGTAAAGAAGTCTGGAAGAGCTGACATTGGTTGTTCCTCAAGGCCATATTACAGTGGTGCCTCGCATTACGATGTTAATTCGTTCCAGTGAAATCGCTGTAGAATGAAAATGTCGTAATGCGAAAATAAAAAGACCATTGAAACACATTGAATGCGTTCCAATGGGCTGGAAACTCACCGTCCAGCAAAGATCCTCCATAGGGCAGCCATTTTCGGTGCCTGTGCAGCGAGGAATCCATCCCAGAAAACAGCGGGGAGCCATTTTATTTACTCCCAGAAAACAGCGGGGAGCCATTTTGTTTACCCGGTGGCCATTTTGAAACCGCCGATCAGCTGCTTGAAAATAGTCGTTTTGCGAAGAATCGGTTCCCAAAGAGGGGAACCAATCATCGCAAAGCGAAAAAACCCCATTCAGACCATTGTTTTGCGATCGCAATTGCAATCGCAAAAAGATTGTTGTAATGCGGTTTTGTCGTAATGCGGGGCAATCATAAAGTGAGGCACCACTGTATTCATAAGGCTGACTAAGCTGAAGACCCATGGTCCCTGCAGGGATTAGGGGCATGTCAATTTTATTTTGGCTCCAATGGTTAAAGGCAGTTGGCACTACCCGGACCCAAAATACTGTACCCGAAAGATCATGGACTAATATGGCCCTGCTGTTCCCTTGCACCTTTTTCCTTCCATGCTGGTGTGGGTGAAGCCACTGCCTTAGCTGAAGTGGGGTGGACACCACAGGACCATCTCAGGTGCCACAGAGGTGGTGTAGCGAGAGGAGTTTTTTTTAGTGCTGGTGCGATCCCCTGGATGATCTCCTTGGATTGGGATGCCTGCCTTGAGCAGGGGGTTGGACTCGATGGACTTATAGGTCCCTTCCAACTTCTGGGTTCTAGGATCAAGATGCTTCTTCCATGGCCTCAGACGCTTGCTTCAGGAAAACGCCCCACTGGCTCCTGCCAGGGGCCGTCCCCCCAAGTCCCATGCCACCTCTCCCATTATACAAAACATGGGGTCTACTTCCTCAGTTGCTGAGCCCCACGTCTCTTCCTTGTCTGTCAACCTCTCACCTGGAAGACCCCGAAACATCTTCCCTGCGGTACTTTTTTTAAAAAATGTCATTCCAATAGATTTGTTAGAACTATTCTTGTTCAAACTAGTTTTAATCTTCTTTTTATAAAAAATTGTACAGTAGGACCCTTCTATCCGCGGGATCAGTATCTGCGGTTTCACATCTCTGAGATTTGCCACACCTCTATATACAACATACAAGGGTGCCCCCTTGTGACTTTTGTCCTACCATTTGTGGCCTCTGTCCCATCCCTTGTATCCTATATATAGAGTTCACTCATATCCATGGTTTCAGGCATCCATGGTAGATCATGGAACAAATCCTCTGGCTGTATATGGGAATTGGCTGGCTCATGACGAGACTATCTACAACTCCTCAGGTAACTATACTGCAGAATGCTGTAGATGTCATTTCAAAGTCATGGAAGAAAACATGATTCTGGAAGTCTGAATGGTAATTGACCATAGAAGAGATGATTTCAGTAAAGAACTGCACTTCAATTCTTAGAAATAAAGCAAGAAAGCTATAACAGATATTTCACACCAAATAGTGACGGCAAGTTTAAAAACTTGATCCATAGGGTTTTGCTGTCATGGCTATTTATTTATTTAAAATGTTTTTACTCCACGTTTGTCCTTAAAAGGGCCCAGGCTAAGAGAAGGAAAAGAAACAGAAATGTGGACACATCAGCCCGTGTGTTCACTTGATTTCCCTTTTATTTTAGTAACCGTAAGGAGTGACACACAAAATATTCCATGTTGTTAAATAACATTGTCATGGTCTTGCAATCTTGTTGACTAAAACACATTTTTGATGTGGTTTTCTTACCGATGTAATCAATTTGAAAAAAGGGCAACATTAAATAAATCCTTTAAAAAAAAAGAAATGTAGGACTTCAAAAGATCATCAGTCTACATTACACTCAGTCATTCAGTCATACTGATTTATCACGGCCTTCTAGACAAGAAGCCGTCTCTATTCATTCAGCTTAAATCAGGGGGGGTAGGTGGGAAGCAAAGCTAAGAGCCAAGCATGTACATTTCGGGCGTCCGGCACTCCTCCATATTAATCCTTTGCGCAGCATATGTTGTCCTTCTCACAGGTACCTTTCAGAACATGTACGGGGTCGCAGTCGTCTTCACAATGGCCTCCGATAGAAGCACATGTTGGAGGTGGCTCTGCAGAAAGCACAAAGATAATTCTGTCAATATTTTTTAACTCAATACAAAAAAAAGGGGAGTGGGCCAAACATGGTGAGAACAGCTGCCGCGGAGAACGGTCTTCACTCAATATTCCATCGTGCTTGGATCCCTGGATGACCCAACGGTCCACTCTTCCGATCGTAAAGAGCATCTCATGCAGTTTCCTTTGGAACTTCCAAAAGAGGACGGGTGAGTAAATTGGTGCTTACAAAAGAAGATTGGTGAGTAAAATAGCGCTCAACTCCCGTTGGCTGCCGAGTAGAGATGAGCACGAACTGGTTCATCCTGGGTTCATCGCAGTTCATAAAGTTGGGCAGGACAGGCACCGCTGCTCCCCTTCCCCATCTCCCCAGCCGATCAAGCCACTCCCCAGGCCCAGCATGCTTGCTTTTCCCACCTCCTTGGCTAATCTCCCAGTCCCAAGCAAGAGCACAGGCTTCTCTTCCCTGCTGTTTTGTCTGAGTGGGAGATCAGCCAAGAGAGCAGGGCAGGGAAGCCTGAGCTGTTGCCGGGACTGGGAGATCCGTTGAGGAGGTGCCGGAAGCCAGCAAGCT